CTTTCACAAATTGGTATTTTTAAAACTTTTCTTTGCATCTAGTCCACATTTTTAGTGCATTTATGATCTGTTACATTTTGATATACCATACTAGTTCTCTTATTTCCAGTGACTCTGAATGTTGCAAATTTAATTATTTTCCAAATAGCTCCAAAAGAGCCAAAATGACCGAAAAGAATAATTGGAAAATAATATCAGTGACTTATAGGTGAATATACAAATCAGATCAAATAATTATCTTCCTAATTCTCTCCCTTTCTTCCAGATTTAAACTAATCTTAATCTGCTATTGCTTTTACTTTGCCTCTCATATAGTTTTGTAGATTTTACAAGTCTACAAAGGGCAGATGTGACAATTTATCCTGTTACATGTGTTGCATTCATGTTACCTTGTGTCTGTCTTTACTTTAGTCTGCTTTATCTCAGAGGATGGGTGATAGCGAGATGTGGGGGTGCTGCCAGGCTGTTCTGACGCAGGGACTGGGGTGTCCCATGTATCTCTCCATTTTCTGGTCTCTGGTGCTCCATGTCAGGGACAGCAACCTAACAGTTGTTGAGGTTGTCTTGAAACTTTAAGGAACCAGTGTTGGAATAAAGACCCTAATTATTGTTGCTGTATTGATACTGATCATGTATAATAAAATCATTTTTATGATATTAAATATTTGTAAGAATGATTTGTCCTAGAATTTGGAAGCAATATCTTGAAAAGTTAAGTATGCGTATACTATTAAAGCCATAGATATGTAAAATCAGGACCATGCTCTTACTTTTCTAAGAATGTATGCTATTAGCAAAGTATAGTTGGTGATAAAAATTCACATGCTCTAAATTTGTATATCTGCCTGATGTACTTTATCTGATAAATGTCAGCAAACTGGAATGGAAGGGATATGTAGAAATATTCAAGGCGGTTTGGTCAGGTATAGAAATCCAAAAAAGAAACAAAGGCATAAGCCAGGGTAGAAGTCTTAGTGATTTTAAGATTTTCAGTATTTACCATTGGAAAACCAGAGGCACTTAATTGTTTAGCACTTTTTTTTTAATTTGATAGAATTATTAAGTTTCAGTGATAGGTATGGAAAGATTCCTCTCTGCCTCCACACTAATAAGATTGTTAGTTCAGGTTCTCACATATGATAAAACTTGGACCTTGAGTATGTGAAAATAGTGCTGTTTTGGTCAACAATGAATATGAAAATATGTAGGATTGTTAGGCGGCTTTCACGGGGGTTTTGCACTGCTGGAGGAATCTTCAGGAAGTTACTTCAGTAACAACTTTTAGAGTCTATAGTTGGTTTAAAATATATTGTCATATGGCACTTAGTTACATGATTATTACAGTTGAGAGGTTCTCAGCTGGGAGGTTACTTGGGGAGGTGTATAGGTATTTTTGATTTTCAAAATGATCAGAGGCACTGTTGGCATTGATTTTGCTGGGCAGTTCTAGGTGGCTGTAATCAAAGCGGCAGACAAGGAGTCCAGTCCAGTCCAAAATGCAGTGGTCTTCTGTTGAGAGACACTGCCAGATTCTCAATTCTTGTGTTTAACATCCCTTGTTTTTAGTAGAGTTTAGTCAAGGATTTAATTTTCTAAATATCATCTGAGAAGTCAGTGTTAGATTTGCAATGCATTTGACGTTATAAAATATTTTAGATATATAATTTGACAATGTTGTGAGTCAAGGGAGAAAAAAGAAAATGAGAGTCTTGTTTTTGGCAATTGGGATTAGAAGTGATGGAGAGGAGAGTCCAAGCATACACGTATATAGTGAACCCCCTTTTTTTTTTTTTTTAAAGACTGGGGCTCGATCCCGGGGCCCTGGGATCATGACCCGAGCCGAAGGCAGATGCCCCTATAGTGAACCCTTAAAAATATAAAAAAAGTTAAGATCATTTTCTCTGGAAATGATGAGTGTATTTCTGTTAGGACAAAGAGGGAACAGACAGCGCAGAAAGTGAGAGAGGTTATTAACCATTTAACAACCTGAATTATGTCATAACTTTTTAGTAAGAAAAAGTGAGATTCGTTGAGATAACAAATGAAAGACTAAAACGTTGTAAGTACTTTAATTTTTGAGTTCTTTGGGATTAGAGGCCAGATGCCATGGTATCTCAGTTGTTTGAATTGTGCCTGTGAGCCAGCAACTACAAAAGGGGAGGAAGGAAAGGAGGAGAGTGTTAAGGGGAAAAAAGCAATGACAAGCAGATGGGAAGGAGGCAGCAGTATCTCCTTTGATGAAAGAAAATGGCAGCTCCATCCTTTGGTGTCCTTAGGCTAAACATCTTGGTGTCCTCCCTGACTTGCTCTTCTTTCATACCTAACATCTACTCTGGCCGCAAATCTTGGGGGCTCTGTTTTTAAAATATATCCAGGATCTGATCACTTCTCGCCTCTCTTCTGTATGGGCCAGGTTGCCGCCATCTCTTGCCTAGATGGGGGTGTTAGCCTCCTGAGAGGTCTGCTTGCCCCCATGCTGCTCCCTTACGGTCTCTTTTAAACCTAAGTCACATCAGGTGTGCCACCTTGAGTCTCCCAGTGGCTTTCCATCCCTGGATGGAAAAACTCTAGCCGTTCTGGTGAACGGTGCTTACCTTGCAAAAATCCATACTTTATCTGCCTCCCCTCCCCCATCCCCACCTCACCCCCCCCACCTTTCTGAATCACCTCCTCCACTTTCCCTTTCATTCACTGTGCCCCTGTCACCATCCTTGCCCTCCCTCAAACACCAAGGCACGCTGCCGAATGGGGTTTTTTACTTCCTTACGATGCTGCTCATATCTTCCTGGCCCTGCAGCTCTTCTCCCGGCTTTTATGCCAATGTCTCTTTCTTACTGAGGCCTTCTCTGACCGCACTGCTGGAGTCACAGGCAGAGAGACGAGCCTGTAGTTCCTGTCTCCCTCTCCCTACCACCTCTTTATTTTTCCCTAAAACACTTCTGTTATCTGACCTCCTGCCCACTTTACTGATTTGTTTATTGCAGTCTCTTCCCCGAGAGGGCAGGGATTGTTCGGCTTACTGTTGAAAACAGTGGTTGACACATAGTAGGTGTTAAGGGGAGGCAGGAGTAAACAGTTGGTGAAACATGGTTAAGAAGCAATGGCAGAAACCCGTTATGAGAGCGTCTGAGTTATCCTGACCGCCTTGAACTTGTCTTGTTAGTTGAGGATGCTAGTACTTGAGCTCTGTAAAAAGCAACTGGGCTGATTAACGTGAAGGTGTAGCCCAGTGCCTGCTGGTCTTAGAAGCACACCTCATAAATGATAGTTGTGATGATGGTACTGATGATTCTCGTGGGAAGGAGAAGACGACAAGCCGAAGGAAATGGTAAAGCATCATAGTTCTTTCCAAAGATCTTTCATGACAGTATTTGCATTTTACTGCAGGATTTTACTTCTGTTCCTTAAAGAGAACTCCCTGTGGCCAATGATAGTAAATCCATCCATAAAAGCTTAATAAGAGGGAAAGTGAAACCGCCGACATTTTATTCACTTCTGGGTGCCACGTTGTCCATCACGGTCCTCCTGGTGGACTGTATGGCATTTAGTAGGCATTGATGTTAGAGGGGGCAGAGGGGCGCACACCTCAGTGGGTGACAACCAGATACACCGTTTAACTTCCTAACGATTTCAAGTCTCATAGAAAAGGATCGATTCTGCTCAATAGGAGATGTATACTAAGGAAAGGCATGTTAAATATATATGAGAGAGATGTTCAATATTAAAATTTAAAGAGCTGGACTTCATGGGTTAACCTCCAGTTATCTGAAATCATATTCACAGAGTATTTCCTTACTCAGAGTTTATATGGGTCTGGCTAGCACTGAGCTCTCTAACAAGATGCAAGTTACATCCCTGTGCCAATTGTGACTAAAAACTAGTTCAGATGACCAGGTCCTGACTTAAATATAGTGCCTTTGATGGTTAAAGGTGATCAGGTGAGTGTGGTTAAATAGCTCAAGGGAAAGAAAAACCCCAAACTGTCCTTATTAATGAACTGGGGTAAAATGTCAAAGCACTGTTTTTTATGATAGCGGGCAGGCCATATGTTCTTCTAAGATGAAGAATGTCATGAAGTCACACGTTCCTTGGTTTATTAGCAATTAGAACATAAACGTTCTACAATGTGAGTGGAGTCTTGTGGATCTGGGAAGGAGGGAGAATCTGTTAAAGCAAGTTCACGAAGACATAGGAGACCTGTGCCTGATGGTATGTGTGCATATGTATACCTGCTGGAAGCATTTATAATATCACTGTGGAAGTAAGTGCCACTTAAAGTGGTACGACTTTCGTTTATTGTGAGTGACTTCCAGTGACTCCTGGGATGTCCGTGACAGAAAGGACCATCTTAGAAACAAGTACGTCATATGCATTTACAAGAAATGATTTTGTCTTAACGTTTCAGTGTACTATGAATATAGTGAATAAAAATTTTAAAGGAATAATTGCAGTTCTTTCCAAACAGCTTTTATTAAAACATTTGCTTTTTACTACAAGGATTTTGTTTTGTTCCTCAAAGAGAACTCCCTGTGGAAATGTTAGCCAATCCACTTTTCTACTTCAAGAACTTGAAAAACTAAATAATGTAAAGGGTCTAATTGGGTTTGCATTCAACACAGTATTGATATAAGTGAAAGAAGGACATTTATTTACATTGCATAATAAATTACTCAGCAATGCTTTGTGTTTCTGACTATTAACAGAGCTAATCTGTTTCTTCTTGGGAATGATGTAATTTCACAGCAAAAATTTGATGTCATTCTAATGAGTCTGCTTTCAATTGTGGAGTACAATGAAGGCCTAGGAAAGATTAGTAAGAAATCTATTTTATTGAGATAATAAATCTGCGAAGTAAGCTCTCAGCATAGATTGAAGTTGATCTGGCATGGAGTTGCTTTATGAATAGCCCTTTGAGCAAACTCTACAGTTCTGTATGTGGTTTTAAGTCACTGTAAATTTGTAGGCAGGTACATATTACAATTGTCTGTTTTTCTTTTTAGGGCTCATGTAATCAAAGAAGTTTGTTTGTTGTGTGTATCTTTTCAGAACACAACAGGAATTGAAAATGAATCAGGTGAGTTTAAAAATAAGAATTTATACAAATACATTATCTAGATGTTAGACCAGTTCTTGATTTTTAAAAGATCAAAACACACACATTCATTTCTCCCAGATTTTCTTTTCTGTTTCTTAGTACCATTAACTAGTTCATTGCTTTCATAGTGTGCGTTTGTTCGTGGAGTGGCGTGTGCACTGTTGTGGCATGGGTTGGCATTTCCGTGGAACCCTGCGCAGGGGACTGGTTCTTTGAGACCTTAGTTCAGACTTTCTGTTTCTGCCTTTCCCCTGCCACACTGTAGTGTTAATTTTTTGTTTTTGTTTTGAAGCTTATTGAGCTTTCATTTTTAATACTTTTTGTTCTGTAAATTTTCCATTGGTTGAGAAGGGAAGATTGAAATTATTTTTAGAGACCGAAACTGATCAAGTGGGAAACTTTATAAGCATTCTGTCCTTGAAAAACCTGTGGATAGAATAAAAACAAGAAGGTGGATTTTAAAATGTAAGATGTGTTTCTCCTTGTAGGAGGGTGTGGGACTACCTGGGGATTAAACAATTCTGCTACAGAGATTTCTGTAGCCTCAGGGGTATTCTGATAAGTAAAATCAGTTATGCGGACTTAATGTATTCTAAAGGATTCTGAGGATTCTTATTTTCTAGTCTTAATATCATTTCACTTGTAGTTAGAGAAATTCATGGGTGTTAGAAACACTCTCTTTTGAGATCATAATAAACACATTTAAAACATATGAAAGGCAGAACTTAAAAGTGTGAAGTCTAATTTGTAGTGCTTAGCTTAAAACTTATCAGACTTGAAAACGTTTTGTGTCCCTCATTATCTGAAATTTTGGACACCTTTTTATCATTTATAGGTGCTTCTAACTGAAGTCCCAGTTTTATTAGGGTGGCCACGTTTAATAAGTTCAGTCCCGTGTTGCATTGAGAGATGTGAAATTTTTGGAATGGATCCTTTTGATTTCTTTTCATTACTTTCTTTTATCAAAAATACGTTTATTTTAATGTGGCGGACCATACATCATAAAAAATGAATCTGGCGAACACATGGGGCACATGGTTTCTATTATTTTGCAACTTGCAGATTTACTGACATGCTTTTGAAGCCAAATTATTTTTGAAATGGTGAGATGGGGGAGGGGAAAAGAGAACAGAGTGGATTTTCATAGTCCTTGTTCATCAAAGTTGTGTGCATATATATGTCATACGTTTCATTTCTTTTTCTCTCTGAAGACTGATTGCATATATATATGTGAACCTGGTCACCCAAAGGAACTTGCTTTTCTCCCGCCTAGGAACTGTTGTTAGAAGAGCCTCAGGGTTCTGGGTTAGAACGATCATGAATGCTTCCAGAGTGGAATCCAAATATTGACATTGCTTTTGGGGCATCACTGTTCAGCAGTCAGTTATTTCAGGTGGCTACAACTTTACCTGTAGGCTTAATAAGGCTTGAATTCTTACACCGTATTCGGCTGCTCAGATTTTATTTCTAACGTCTTTTGACCTGCTTGACACCTCACACTTTCACTCTATGGTTCCTTTTATATCAAGTGACCTTGTTGTGTTTAGAGAAAGTCCACATGCCATTCAAAAGAGTTGTAGCCATAACCTTTTCTTTTTTTGGCTCTTTTACAATTTCATTTTGTTTTTGACAAGTTTTAATATCAGATCTGCAGAGGACTGCCTTTGATGCCAAATGCCAAATATCAGTGGAAAAGTGTCCTCTTATGTTTCTAATGGTTAGCACATTTCTGATTTGGATGTAATTTAAGTGGTCTGGTAGTAATGAAACTTTTACTTGGATTATAAAAATTGTCCACTTTTTATGAGTAAAATTTTCAGCATCTTTAGTTCTATTTTCCTTATCTGAGGGATTTTAGTTGCATGATGTTGTTATGTCATGGCGTAAAATCGATGAGTGTTTTTCAACAACTGTCTCAGTAATTCTTACCAGTTAAGAATTGTTTCAGGACATTTTATGTTTTTCCTCTTATATTTATTCTCATTTTCAACCAGTGAAAAATGAGCAATCAGTGCTTTGGAACTTGAAAGTAACTACAAAAATTTGGGTATTAAAAAAGTTTTAACTTGAACCAGATTGATTTTTTTTTTTAAGCTTATTTATTTTTAAACAATCTCTGTACCCAGCGTGGGGCTCGAACTCACGACCCTGAGATCAAGAGCCTCATGCTCCACTAACTGAGCCAGCCAGCCAGGCACACCTGAACCAGATTGATTTTTTTTTTTTTTTCTTTTAAGTAGGCTCCATCCCTAGTATGGAGCCCAACGCAGGGCTCGAACTCATGACCCTGAGATCATGACATGAGCTGGAGCCAAGAGTCAGATGCTTAACTGACTGAGCCTCCCAGGCGCCCCTGAACCAGATTGATTTTTAATTAAAATCTTAATGGTGATGTTACGGTCAGATTATTCTCTCTAGGGACCGAGCAACCATGCTTAGATGAATTTTAGCAGTTAGCATTCAGATCTATCTCTTACGGTGGGCATGGTCTTGAAGACAGTAGCACAGTGTCATTCATTCATATGTGTGTGCTGGTTGAGGTTTAGGGACTGAATGATCCCCAGAGTGAGCAGACCATATTGTTTGCAAACGGGTTCTTTAGAGGAAACAGCAGACTCGGAAGTCTCATGGTATTTTAAGAGCTGACTACTGAAGCAGTGTTCTGAACTGCTCAGTCTTAGACCAGTGTTGTTCCATGTTCCAAGCGGCTCCTGGTGCGGTAGCTCCCCAGGCTCTCTCTCCTACCCCAGCTCCGGGCTCCACAAAGCCTCTAGGTGCACATGTTCTTTGTCCTTCCTTCCCTTATACTTTGTTCTCTACTCAACACTTACCCCTTATCTTACCTTCCCAGCCTAGAACTCCGCTTGCTTTGCCTGTGAGCCTTTTTTCCTTCCAGCTCGGTCCAGGCCTGGTTGGCAGGCAAGAGGAGAGCCACTCTGCTCTTCTACTTCATTCTCCCATTTTCTTTTCTCTCCATTGTAAATCACAGATACCCTTTCCTTGCTTCATTCGCATTCCACACCCACCCCAATATTTAAGTTTGGAGATGTTCCTATTTTCCTCCCTTTTCCCCCTTAGATTTATCTAGGAGAATCCAAAACTTTATAAATTACTTTCTCATTGAATAAAGAGTTTAGAATGCTTACTTTATAGAATATCAAGGGTGAGCAAAGTTCCATAATTTGAATATGCTCATAGTAGTTTAAAATAGATACGTTGGAGTTTACTACCACTTCCTGTCTACTGAGTACTTAACCAACATGCCAGGCACTCCGTTAAGTATTGCACACATTATTTTCTCACTCATTTAGTCTTTGCAACCATTCTCTGAAGTGTAGGTTTTACCTCCATTTTATGGATGAAGACATGAAGGCCCAGAGAGGTGGCCATGGCTTGCCCATGACCACTCAGTACGGGATAGAGCTCTGATTCACACCCTCGCTTGTCAGATTCCAAGGCTCAGTTCTTGGCCGCCATGCTATACTGATGTATCAGTAGGATAAGCTGCTTTACGCTGTGCCAGCAAGCAAGCAGCTCCAAAATCTCAGGGGCTTAATGCGGCATCCTTTTATTTCATGTTCTTTCTGCGCGTCCTGTGTGAGTCCACTGTTGGAGTTGCTCAAGAACCAGAGACGATGAAGGCTTTGTCTCAATATATATCACTTCTACTCATATTTAATTGGCTTGAGGTCATCATATGGCTACATCTAACTTAAAACAAGGGTGTTAGGTGCTGGCCGGGGTGCGGGGGGGGGGGGCAGTGCAATCCTGTCAGGTGCCTGGGAGGAGAGGAGAACTGTAGTATTTTGGGTATAGCCTCAGTGATTTTTCCCCAGCTTTATTGAGATATCATTGACATGGACCATTGTGTAAGTTTTAGCCCTAATGAGATAATACAACTGTCTTGGTTTCTGATTTGAGTCACAGTCAGGTTTTTTTTTTTAAAACAATCTTTGGGTAACTCAAGTTGTTCCTGATATTTGAAACTTTCTGTCAACATAGTAGCTTATGATTGCAGCATCTCTACATCCTGATCCGTGATCTAAAGTATTGCCAGTAGCCTGTAGCGGAACAATTTAGAAACTTAGCCTTCCAGACTTTTAAAAAGTTTTATGTAGTAAAATAACAAAAGCAGTTTTTAATCACTGGATGCTGCAGATCCAACCTGAGAACTGTGATAAGCCATCCACAGTTGCATTATCTTCGCTGTTCTGGATGTTCATTCGTTCCCTCATTGTTCCTCTGTACACTGCACCCCAGCATGTTGTGGATTCTGCAGTGAACCAGACAGGCAGGAGCTCTGCCCTGCAGCTTACCTAGTCAGAGAGAGACAGTTGAAAAGCAGAAGAGGAGACAATTTCAGGTCGTGAAAAGCGCCTTGCAGACAGTGAAACCTGGTGGTGTGGTAAAGAATGATGAATGAAGGCAGGGGAAGTTTCTTTGGATTCCACGGTCAGGGAAGGCTGTTCTGAAGAGGTGACTAACAATTAAAACAGAGACTCAAGTGATCACCAACAATCAGATATATGAAGATCCAGGGAAAGAAAAATCTCGGTAGAGTGAGCCAATAGTGAGTGCAAAGGCCCTGAGGTGGGAGTTCAAGGGCACAGGCAGAACAGGCTGGGGGCTGGAGCTTGGCAAGCATCAGGGACTCTGGGACAAGATGAAGTTGGGGAGGGGCAGGGGTCAGATTCATAGAGCCTTAAGGGCCATAGAAAGAAGTTTATATTTTATTCGAATTGCAGTGGAAAGCCTCTGGACAGTGACATCTGTATTCCATTTTTTTAGAGCATCACCTTTATCTTTATTGGGCATGAGGATAGCAATATGCTTATTATTCAGATTAACACCGTATTTGAGGATAGTTTCTTCAGTTGGACAATTTAATGGGCCTGCCAGCTTTTGAAAGAGGGCACTCTTTTATGTGTTTCAGAACTATTTGATATATTTGTTTTCCAGAGACGGTGTGAAGGTTTTCT